TATCTAACGAGCTACACTCCCAGAGAAGCTCCAGGGGCCAGCTAGCCGCCATGTTTGCTGGCAGCCTAGAAAGATAAAAACGGGGCTTCACCCAGGCGTGTGGATGCGCCCGTGATTTTCTCCGCTTTCTCCTACCCTGCTGTACGGCGTCGGTCTGCTTCTTCCGCGGCTCAGGTTCTGGCGGCTCCTCATGGGGCCCGATCCGCCGCCGCGGCCTCCAAAGCCTCCTCCTGTGTTTCCGAGGCGCCCGCCGGCGCCAGTACCGCGGCCTCCGCGGCCACCGCGACCTCCTCTCCCGCTGCCGCGCCCGCCGCCCCCGCGCTGCCGGCTTTGCTTGATGATGTCGTCCAAGGACATATCCATCTTGTCTGCCATCGTCTGGACTTTGTTAAAGCTAAACACTGCCGTTAACTAAAAACAAACCCCGCTCGTGTGAAGCACTACACTGACCCTACGCTACCGCTCGCTCACAGAAGAGGAAACAACTAGCCGCCGCCGCCGGAGCCGCTTTTATAGCAGGACCGCTCGTGACGTACATCGGTGAGACGAACGCTTCCGGTTTAAATTCCTCTGTACAGACGAAGAGTTTATTTGCAAAAACAGACAACTCCGTTTATATTTTTTTTTTTGTAAAAATCATGTTTTTTTTTTATTATGTTATCGTGTTTTTATTGTGTTTTATTGTGTTAGTTAGCTAGTTTTTTTTTTTTTTTTTTTACCTAATCAAAATAACCCAACTGCAGTTTGATTGAGATTAATTGGAATGCACAATAAAACCATGATTTTTGAAACTGTTTTTGCTTGCTTTTTTTTTTTTTTTTTACCTAATCAAAATAACCCAACTGCAGCTTGATTGAGATTAATTGGAATGCACAATAAAACCATGATTTTTGAAACTGTTTTTGCAAATGAACTCTTCAGATTTTCTTTCAAAATATTAGAAGTTAATGCTACAATTTTCTCTCTGGCTTTTGTTTTTCGAAATGTCCAAACTCACAAATGCAAATATACTAATTATAAGCCTTACTAAAACGATTTTGTTGTTGTTAACGAATAACCATTATGTTTAGGCTTATATTTGTAATATACAGAGGCGGACAGTAGTGAAGTAGCTATTTCTACTCTGCTGTAAAAGTACTTTTCAGGTGTCTGTACTTTATCAGCCAGCTAGCCGCCATGTTTGCTGGCAGCCTAGAAAGATAAAAACGGGGCTTCACCCAGGCGTGTGGATGCGCCCGTGATTTTCTCCGCTTTCTCCTACCCTGCTGTACGGCGTCGGTCTGCTTCTTCCGCGGCTCAGGTTCTGGCGGCTCCTCATGGGGCCCGATCCGCCGCCGCGGCCTCCAAAGCCTCCTCCTGTGTTTCCGAGGCGCCCGCCGGCGCCAGTACCGCGGCCTCCGCGGCCACCGCGACCTCCTCTCCCGCTGCCGCGCCCGCCGCCCCCGCGCTGCCGGCTTTGCTTGATGATGTCGTCCAAGGACATATCCATCTTGTCTGCCATCGTCTGGACTTTGTTAAAGCTAAACACTGCCGTTAACTAAAAACAAACCCCGCTCGTGTGAAGCACTACACTGACCCTACGCTACCGCTCGCTCACAGAAGAGGAAACAACTAGCCGCCGCCGCCGGAGCCGCTTTTATAGCAGGACCGCTCGTGACGTACATCGGTGAGACGAACGCTTCCGGTTTAAATTCCTCTGTACAGACGAAGAGTTTATTTGCAAAAACAGACAACTCCGTTTATAATTTTTTTTTTGTAAAAATCATGTTTTTTTTTTATTATGTTATCGTGTTTTTATTGTGTTTTATTGTGTTAGTTAGCTAGTTTTTTTTTTTTTTTACCTAATCAAAATAACCCAACTGCAGCTTGATTGAGATTAATTGGAATGCACAATAAAACCATGATTTTTGAAACTGTTTTTGCAAATGAACTCTTCAGATTTTCTTTCAAAATATTAGAAGTTAATGCTACAATTTTCTCTCTGGCTTTTGTTTTTCGAAATGTCCAAACTCACAAATGCAAATATACTAATTATAAGCCTTACTAAAACGATTTTGTTGTTGTTAACGAATAACCATTATGTTTAGGCTTATATTTGTAATATACAGAGGCGGACAGTAGTGAAGTAGCTATTTCTACTCTGCTGTAAAAGTACTTTTCAGGTGTCTGTACTTTATCAGAGTGTTTTTCTTTAGAAAAATTTACTTCACAACATTCCAAAGCATAATATTGTACTTTCCACTGCACTACGTTTTATATTAAATATCATTTAATACTTAATTACATTAGAAATCTAGTACTTTCTTACTTTTACTCAAGTAAAAGTAATTCAACGTTTTGCTTGAGTACAAGAAAGTACTACATTTTAAATGTTCTTAAGTATTAAAGGTAAAAAAATATATATATTTTATTTATGAAATGTAGTGCTGTAAAAAGACATTGGAATGTAGTGAAGTAAAAGTTTTCCGAAGAAAAACACTGATAAAGTTCAGATACTTTTTGAATTTACGTGAGTAAAGTAAAAATACTTCACTACTGTCCACCACTGGTAATAAATAGATATCAGTTTAATCAAGTCCATTGAAATTTGCTCTATTTGCAAATAATTTACTGATCTTTTTAATACCTTTTTTTTTTTTGTTGGTCTTTATTTTTGTTGAAACTATTTGTGACCCTGGACCACAAAACCAGTCATAAGGGTCTTTTTTTTTTTTTTTTCCAAAATTGAGATCTATACTGAATATGCTGAATAAATAAGCTTTCCATTGATGTATGGTTTGTTAGGATAGGACAATATTTGGTTGAGATACAACTATTTGAAAATCTGAAATCTGATGGTGCAAAAAAATCCAAATATTGAGAAAATCGCCTTTAAAGTTATCCAAATGAAGTTCTTAGCAATGCATATTACTAAGCAAACATTCAGTTTTTATATATTTACGGTATATATAGCACCGATAAAAAACCTGTACTGGTTTTGTGGGTCACATTTTAATCTGTCTTGTACGTGTTTTATTTGTATTTGTGAACTATGCTTTCAACATTTTTTTATTAGCAAAAATAGACATATAACAATGTAAAATGGATATCTATATTTTCTTTGAATAGTTAAAACTTGAAATCATCCTTTCCATTTAGACCAAGGACAAATGCTAAAGGTGTGAATTATGTATATTTCACAGTACTCAGAATTTTAATTGAATTAAATTGAACTGTATTGTGTTTGATGCAATGAGATCCAGGCAGATGAGTAATGACTAGGCCTATTATTAAATAAATGAATGATTAATACAATAAAAGAATGATGTAAATATAAAAATTATAATAGGAAGTGTTTAAACAAAATGAAGATCTCTTATTCAGTCATTTATACTAAAGTGCAGTTAAAAATTGCTTTCACACCCTTAGAACAAATACTGCAAAATGAGCACTTTTAAATATCATATCTCACATATTACAAAAACACAGTTTCTGGAAAAGAACATCATTAATACTCAGGCAGCAGTTGAAAGATGTCCAATATCTAACAAAACACCAGTAAAGACGACGTATCTTTCAAACATATATGAAATGTGCAGAACATATTTCTTTTGAAGAATACTACAAATATTACATACAAACATAAATCAATCGAAATAAAGGATAAACATAAATGAGTAACGAGTCATATAGGAGCAAATACTTGAATATTAATATATGATGAGGATTCATATCAGAAGCATAAATCAATAAATAATAAATGAACACATGGATATGAAAAGCAAGGAAACAACACCAATGATTCGGATACACCAGTGTTTAATTATATAGAAGGTGGAATATTTGACTAAACATTTCCCCTGACTGATTAATAGCCAGCATTCATGTTAAAATCTATCCTCATCATGATTCAAATCTGAAACACCCAAATACCAAACTAATGTCATTTTATATAATAATATCAGCAAATTAACTAATAAAAAAGACTGGCAATAAATAGGTAGGCTACTTACCATAAATACACAGTATGTGTGAAAAATATAGACATGCATTAGGAGCCTGTAATATGTCTAATAAGGGCTTTTGATAAAGATTTACGATTATAAAAATCATATCGTCTCACAAAGTGGTGAGAATGGGATCATGATATGACCACTTACCTGAACTCTTCTCGAAAATGTAATGTCCGGTTTTTCTCACTTTCACAGTTCGCTCCAAAATGGATTCTAATCAAAATATAATACAATTACCCCACATTATGGGTTACCAAAATCTAGACCCTGTCTTGAATCAGTCTAAATGCAGATTGCAGATACTAAACTGGATTTATGAAAAGTGGAATTAAAACATTGTTTCATTTTTACACTTTCCCAGTCCTGTATCATTTCATTCATCCCAAAACGCTCATCCCTTTTTTAAAATCTAACTCGTCAAGTCAGAAACATGGTTTGTTACTGCTATTGCTATTCTATAGAGTGTTTGCTTAGACATACATTTGGATAGGGTTGTGATTTCAAGATGTGCCATGAGGATTTCCCAAGCATTTTAACTTAAAACACATTTATCTGCTAAACATTCACGTTGTCAAATTTTAGGAGTACACATACAAAAAAGCACACAGATGACCTCAAAGTCAACAGACAAACTCCATGATAAATACAATGCAGAGAGGCTGAGATAACAGAAGAGTAATCTTTATTTTAATTTTATTTTAAGGGCTGGGAACGAAAGATGTGGGAAAAGTCTACTTAAAAGTTTTTGAAGGTATCAATTCATAGTTAAAAATGGAGGTGCGTTTACTAAAAATATTTGCCGAGCCAAACTTACCTGTCCTACCAGACAATACTCGCTAAATTCTTCTATGAATCAATCAATCTACGAAACTAACTGAACAGTCAGTCGCTCCCCATCAGGTGATCAACATGTTTTGAAAGAGGAGTATATTCCAGGACTGCGTCCCATTTTGAGAAAGTTTGTGTAGAGTCTGTCCAACAGTTTAAGCATCCTTTCTCAAAAAAAAAGAGAGAGAGAGATCAGAGAGCCCTCTTGAAAATGTAACGCATAAATAGATGTCAGCCTGTAAGTCCAGACCACAGGTCCAACAGGCAGAGAAAAGAGAAGCTTTCTGGACTAAGGTGGCTAAATCTTCTTGTGGCTCTTTGTTGGCCGACAGAAGACTGATAGAGTAAAAAGGTCCCAAATGTAAAAGGGAGGACAAAAACTGCTGGATCAGAAAGAGAGGGAACGGTTTAAGACTTCTTGGAGTCTTGTGTGTTCCGCTTCTTAAGGTCACTCAGGTCCACTGGTATAAAAGCTGAAAGAAAGAAGGGACAAGAAAAATGAAGCAAACCGATTAAAAAACAAAACAAAAAAAAAAACACATGGCATGAACTTTGTCCACATATATAGGTACGGCTGGGCGATATAGCAAAAAAAATTATCAACGATATAATCTTTCATATCGTTCGGTATCGATAATTATTGACATTTTTATAACCTTTTTTAAAACAAAAAGCAATAGAAAAAAATGCTTCAATTGAACCACTGTATTTATAATTAACACAATTTATTGAGACAAACAACAAATATTTTTTGTTTTAACAATCAAACACAATAAAAATTAAACAAATATCTAATTTCTAATGTTTTATATGCAGATTAAATTGGTCTTTATTGTATAGGTCTAATTGTCTCCCGAGGCCACAGGAGGGCGCAATGAGCAAAATAATGCAGCGCATTTAAATTGTCAACGCAAGGAAATAACTCCATAAAAATGTGCATTACGTCTAAATTAACTCATAAAAATCAAATATAATTTCGTAAATTGCATAAACAATTATGAACAAAACAGCATCATGTATTTATGCATTGCTTAATCCAAAGAGCCGAAGCGCCATTCACACAGACTGCATTAAAAAACTTATGAGACGCAGTGAAAAGGAATAAACCTCCACAAATTCGTGACATGTTTTCTAAAAGTTTAAACTGTTTTAACTTTGCATGGCTTTCTATACATCTCTTCCGCGAATGCAGCAGTCATATTTGTCTGTCTAAAAAATGCGCTGAATATGCGTTCTGTGTGAATGGCTTGGTTTCGGTTTTAACCTAATCAAGATCTTCTCCGCATTGAGCTACTATATTTCTCTAATATTTTGAATGAATAACGCAGCAGCGGCGCGTCTTGTGGTCTAGACCAGTGGTTCCCAACCCTGGTCCTGGTGGCACCCCAACACTGCACGTTTGCATTAAATCATATCGATATCGTTTTATCGCCCAGGCCTAGGTACAATGAACACTTTTACATTAAGTTAACTTTTACATAAAAGTAAGCTCACAATGTAGGTTGGGATTTGGGTTTTTCTCCACATACTCCTGTGGTCCACGATCATTACGTTCACTATTTTGTGGGGATTTAATGTCTCTTAAAACACAAAGCCAAGCTGGAAAGAAAGAAAAACAAAAGCATTACAACAACACTAATGTCTTGAAATTCAGAGTCTCCTACACTTTCTGATCAATAAATTTACATGTACATAATTATGGAATAAGGATTTTTAAAAATGACTATCCATAAAGCGTAATTTCTAGCCAATGAAATATTTAAAAGCAGAGCATCACTAGAATAAAAATGGCATTTCCACGCTTTTTATAGATTTGATCAATTTCAGTGATGTTCTCATGCATGGAAATCACACTTTTCCAAAGTGAAAATGGTGCTGAGCTTAAAAGGTGCATCTCATGTCTTACTATCATGGATGAAGCGCACATTTTCTTCATGTGCTGGTGTGAAAAGCTCTCCTGTATTCGTTGGTGATCGAGGGCTGGAAGTCCTCTTGTACGTGTGCATTCTAGGGGTAGAGGAGCTGGAGAAGACACAGAAAACACTGAATAAAATATTTCAGCATGACAACGTGCATTAAAAAAATACTGAGAAACCGTACTTAGTTGCTAAAAATAATGTAAGCAGAAAGTCCATTTTTGCTACAATTCCAAGAATCTAGCCACAAACATACTTGTGGATTTTTTCCCCCACTTTCTCTCAATTATTTTTACTTTAGTATTAAAAAGGTATTTAGCCCAAGTTTTAGAACCATGTAACAAACATGCTCAGAATGTAGACACATCAGATGTTAAACTGAAACCTACACCCTGAAACCTGTCACCCGAAACTGAAAACAAACTCAGCAGAAGGTGCTTTTATAGTAGTGGGACATTTGAAGATGGACCCTTTTTGCATTTTTGGGGTTCTCAAAAGTTGTGATAGTTAAGATACATTTTCATAGGTAAAAAATGGGAGACTACAGCAAAAATGTTTGCCTTCCCATTTGCTCCAAAATAAATAAATAAATAAAATTCCACAACTTTTCAAAAGAGGTAAGTCAGAAGAGAGATATCACATTTACCATCATTGCCTCAGCCATTTTATTAAAAACACCCTTGCGGCAGTAATTATAAGCATTATTTATATGTTTTTAAAAGTAAAACAAAATATGCATTTATTTAGAAAAATACAGTAAAACATTGATATTGTGAAATATTTTTATATTTTAAAAGAACTATGCTAAAACTATGTTAAAGGGGTCATATGATGCGATTTCAAGTTTTCCTTTCTCTTTGGAGTGTTACAAGCTGTTCGTGAATAGATAAGATCCCTGAAGTTGCAAAGACTAAAGTCTCAAAACCAAAGAGATATTCTTTATCAAAATAATGTGTTTTTTGAACATTAAAGCATGTCAACATATTCTGTTACACCAAATACACAAAACAATGATCTTTAAAAATGCATCATATGACCCCTTTAAAGCATATTTCTGTGATGTTAAAGCTGAATTTTCAGCATCGATACTCCAGTCTTTAGTGTCACATGATCCTTCGGAAATGCTGAAAATTCAGCTTTACCATCACATAAATGAAGTATAGGCTATTTTACAATACATTCAAATGGAAAACAGTGATTTTAAACTGTAATAATATGATTTCACAATATTACTGTTTTTTATTCTGTGATTTTGATCAAATAAATTCAGGCAAATGTATAGATAGATAGATAGATGGATAGATAGGTTAACTTTGCTAGATTTACAATTTTACTAACTGTAGAAACACATCACAATCTGTGAAAAGGATCCATTGTTTATCACTCAAGTCTTGTGTTTTTTTAACAGTGGTTCTATTTTAAGATTAAAAACATTCTCTGATTAAAAGACAAACGACTTTACCTTGTCATTCTGTTATAGTCTCTTGCCTCACAATCTCAGTATGAGGCTTAACAGGAATGTTTGCCTGTTCTTCAGTGTGTTTTCTAAGGGGGAAGATTTAAGTAATTCAGACAAAAGACACTGTCATAAAATTGCATTTGAATAAAATATCCAGACAGCAAAACCGAAAACGAAATCATTGGTAAGTTACACAGTTTATTAGCTGACATGACCGACTCAATCTGAGATCAGTGCAGAAGAACCACCATCAATGATTTTAACATATTTGTACTATGTTCAACTGTGCATAAGGCTGGCCAGAGACATTAAATGCGCTACACAGACACATGCTACTGTATTTCAATCACAAGCGAGAGGACAGGATTTAATTTAAGGAAAAGGTAATTCAGTCACTCGGTGTTTGTTATTGTTTACGAGTTCCTAGCAGCTAGTCTGTTAGCATTGTGTTCATAGTGAGAAACTGATGCGGACTTCACAGGCAATCTGAGCATAAACACAGCGAATGCATCACGACACATTCAGACTAACGCGCACACAGTGGAAAACGCGTAAATTAACCGTTTCAAACCTGTCTGTTTGTTTCAGTTTCTTCTGCTATCTCTGTATTCTGGCCTGGATCGGCCGAAACGTTGCTAATGCCAACCAATTATTTCCGGTTCGGCCGAAGAAGCCGAGAGAGGGGCGCATGCGCGGACAGAGGTAGCCGACGTGCTGTGAAATTAGTTTTCATAAAGACTGTTTGCAAACATGAATTGCGATTTTTAATTTTTTAAAGGGGTCATATGATGCTGCTAAAATGAACATTATTTTGTGTAATGAAATGTGTTTATGCGGTTTAAGGTTAAAAAAACATTATTTTCCACATACTGTACATTATTGTTTCTTCTCTATGCCCCGCCTTTCTGAAACGCGTCGATTTTTACAAAGCTCATCGGTCTGAAAAAGCGAGGTGTGCTGTGATTGGCCAGCTATCCAGTGTGCTGTGATTGGCCAGCTATCCAGTGCGTTGTGATTGGCCGAATACCTCAAGCGTGTGACGGAAATGTTACGCCCCTTACCATATTGTGAGGCCTGCGGCAACCACATGTGACGACCCGGGCTGGACTCCGCTTCGTCCACAGTGAAAGCCGATCCGGCGATCCACAGCGCGAAGTTGTAGTATTTCCTCAGCGACCAGCACGGATCAGCTCCAGACATGACGAAGCGGATATCGTCCTCTTTTGGAAGGCCAAACAAAGTACTTTCGC